GTTCGCACTGGAGCGAAGCTGGTGAAAAATCGATACGCAGATTGGCAAATAGCCAGGAATGATCAGCTGGTCGACCGCCTCGTACAGGAGCTAGTATTCAACTATTATTTCTATTTTATGTTTGTATTTCTATTGTTTTTTCTTGTTATGAATTTTTTACGGTAGCATTCTTTAACTATTCTCGTAAATTTATTGAAGATTCAACATATTTTGTGTAGATTATTGCATGCAAATGTTTTTTTATTTAAGAAACTCCGTTAAATTCGATGTGTTGTCTGTATTGCAGACACTGCGTCGCCTTCGTGCATTCTCGCTCGAACACTCCCTAACCGCCGTTTTCCAATGTGAAAGATGTCCAACCCCACTTTCTAGCACTTTTTTTTGTCCCTTTGTAATACTTTGTGTTGCTCGTTTTTTTTGCGCTTTTTCGTTGTTATCGCTTTATTCTGAAGTAGTTCTACCTATTACCGTCAAAAAAAGGGTACCCTTACTTTTTTGTTAACAGTGCCTTTAAGTTCACGATAAGCTTTGCTGATGGGCAGGCAGACCGACAAGTTTACAAACTGACAAATGAGCAATCGGACAAATCCGATGCACCACGTTGCCTTTATATGTAAGAAGTATAATAAACATGAGATTCCAATTTTACTTATCCGAAGATCAATCGGTATTTTATTACTGTTTAAATGCATGTCATGGCATGGCGTATCTCAAAAACAAGGAGCCCATTAACTGGTGCCTGTTGCTAGATTGTAGTCCTCGACAAATTTTTTGTACTTAGCTTGAACTTCCTCTGTTAGCAACGACTCGTACCTAAAAAATCATAATTTCAAATAACGCTTTTATGAAATTTGCTCTGAAAAGCGGTCTACAAAAAGTACGACACCTCCCCCACTTCATTAATCCGGTTTTTTGGTTAACACCAAGGATAAGTTTCTGCAAACATGAAACGGGCAAAAAAATCGACGTGGTATTGAAGAACGATCGAAGAAAAGGTCAGATGTAATCGCTAGTAATCCCGCTTAGATACGAAGAACCGTTGCACTGCGATATCATCACTTGGGTTGCAAAGAAAACTAACAAGGGTCCTTAGTCGAAGCGGCCATTTGCTGTGCTGTGCTTTGCGGACTACGTATTTCATCCTTACGTATTTTCGGGTGCTGATTTCAAACCCACATTCCAAATTTGCCAAACGATTCTCCAAACGAATTCATGAAGGTGGGCTCAGGAGAGCCCCTCTCATAACTTCGTTGGTGAGGTGCTCAATGCCAACGAGCCTTAAGACATGGAAGCAACAGCACTGAAAGCGGTGATTTGGAGCAGTGGTAAGCACGACGCTTCATAAGCACGAGACCATGAGATTGGATTTTGTGAGGGTCGTGGAGTTTGCACTTCTCGGGGGGTTTCCCTTGAGAATGGGAAAAGCAGTGCCCTTTCGATGCCTTAGCTTCTTGTCAATACCATCCAACCATGGTCACTGTTCCTTTGCTCTTTCATACACACTACATTCAGAGTATGGTAACTTTCAAGCAGACCTGCTGATCTAGCGCAAAGTATTCGAAAAAGGAAGTTGTCAAGATCAGGAGCAAAGAGTAGAAAAATTCGCAACAAGGTCATTCCCTTACGATCACTCACTAGGCCGAATGGAAAACAGAACTTTGTAGGCGTCTCGAATTTACCTGGATGCCTGCTTTAAAAGCAGCAGCGTATTGAAGCAAAAGAGAAATCTTGATTTGACGAAATCCTAATCTTGGCGAAGCTTCGGTGGAAATTGCAAATACTCTTTCCACTCTCTTTGGCTTCGTCCAGAGCCGCTGCTCCCTTTCTTTCTTTGCTCGCTTTCACATGTTCCTTTGTCTTACTTTATCTCGCTTCTCTGCATGTTTCGCAGGTAAGGAAGTCAACTGATGCCTGTAGCTTCCTCGATTCCACGCTAGCGTATCAGCTCAAAAATTTTCAAAGAGGATGCCTCTTGGCAACCTGTATACTCTCTGCTTTAATAGCACTATCATGAATATGTTCGACGAGCCTGTTCCTCTTCGATGTGTCGATAACGGAATCTTTCCAGTAACTCGCAAGGGAAGCGATATAGTTTCAGCTGACAAGTTGTTAGGCTTTCCTCTAAAAATTGGAATCTAGTGGCCCAACTATGTGTAGAACTTCGGAACAACGCAACGTCACTCAGACGAGACTTTTGACTTAAGATGATGTGAACTGTTGCATAAAAGAACTGCCTGCCAGGTGGCTCTCGAGTCCACCGCAGATGACAGAGATTCTGGAACTGCGAATCGAAACGGGTGGTGTGAGTCGACATGGTTAAGTCGGACAGTCTTTCATTGTGCTCATTACACTTCGTTCCGTAGGTCCCAGTACGTACAATAGCTTCTCGATTGTTCTTCTGGTGTTGGAATTACCGATGATGAAGTTGAAGAAAGGTACTTACTTTTCATAGCTTGCATCATCGGATCTTCGATATATGCCTCCGAAGCAGGGCTTAGAGCACTGGAAGCACAGGTCGCCAGCTTCGTACTCTCCTTTTAAGCAGCCCGTTTAAGCTTACAATCAGCAGTCTTTCTTGAGTGCTCCTACCCGATGCTGGGATATTGGGTGCACATTCGACTAAGAGAGGTGAAGAATATGCACTTATGAGTAGCTTGCCAGGCTCTGACATGGCAGCTGGCTTCACATAATTAGCCACATTATCCCTTAGTAGACAAGGGACTTAGGTTTCAGAGGCGGCTGTGCAGGATACTAGCCGCATCGGTACCCTCTTCATACACATCTGCATGAGTACACCTACGAAGATCAGAAGGTATAAAACGACCCACCACAACAAAAATAGGGAGCCCTGCCCTGAATTCACCATAGCTTTTGGCCAAGCACCGTCACTTTCAGCGCTACGCTTTACTTCATTGCTTTACTTATGGGATGTTTTTCGTAAATGAATACACCATTAACAGAAAGTGAAACAGAGGCGTATTGAAATCAAACGGTTGATTGGAAGTCGAGGGTATAATAACTGGAGAAGCTTGGAAAGAAATCAGTTGCAAAGAAATGGAGGTCGTCAGTTTCTGCAGTGTTCACGGAAGATCAATGAAAATAAGCACTGCTCTATGAAAGTGTCGTACTACTTGTAGACGAGAGACCTCAAATAAAATTTAGTGTGAATGTAAATGACCTTTGCTTGTGTTTCTCAAGGAAATAGCACAGCATAACTCGATGAATGAACAGGTATTGCTGGAAATACGAACATGTTGCTGCTTCTGCACTATGCGGATAAGTAACAAAAGACTGACTAGGTCGTTTTGGATGGTGTAAGCTCGCTGATTTCGTAACTCTTTGAGCAGGTCATTCATTGCTGCACATTCAACTCCGGCTTGCATTCGCTCTGAAGGTCAGATATAGGGCTTACTCTTCCCAAATGTGTTCCCAATGAGGTAAAAACACCTTACTATTTTCAAAGAAAGCACGAAAAGATGTAAACTAGAAAAGCGAGGTTAGAGGACAAAAACTCATATAAGGATTGCAGACGTCGCCAACCTTGCTTTCAACGAAGCCTACTACCACAACAAGTATTGCTCTTAGTTATTTGTATGTTGCTAATTTGCAGTCCTACGGAGTAGGATAGTTTGAAATACGCTTCAGTTGTACATATCAAAATTCCGCGCAATTTGCTCTACTAGTAGAAAGTTAGGAACAAAGCGTTAGGCCAAAGACTTTTGAGCGCTACTGCTGCTAGCAGCTTTGCAAACTGGAACAAAGCCCACCCCTTTGAAACCCAACTGGTCTATTCTTCCAATATGAAAGGATTCATGAGCTGAAAATATCAAGAACCAAAAATGTTGGCTACGTAATCATTTTCTCAACTTGAGATTTTTTTTCATTTCTGTATTTTCAATCCATAGGCATATTTGAAGGATGTGACGACGTCCACGGAAACAGGAATGGCGATTTTCCGTGGATGTCAGCTACCGCATTTATTTCGCACGTGCTCCTATCTTTGTGGGCAAAGCCGAGTTCTGCCACATATGTACTATCGGTGCTCCCATCCTGCCTCTTGTATTTCTACCAAACCTGACGCTCCAAGTGCAAGGGAGCAGAAGTTATGAATTCCCGTTCGAATCTCATCTTAAGGGCTTTGGTAACGTGATTCACTACCCGCTGTTTCTAACTTTTAAATTTTTTTTTGCAACAACACGAAAATTTCAAACACACACACTCGCACAAACACACCTATTCTTGGGAACGATGCCCTACCACAACATGAACTACTCAGTCAGCTGAAGTTTCGACCCATGATTTATTTCATCTGTCGCTAATCTTGCTATAATTAATCATTATGTTTCTGATCCAACGAGTAATCACCTACTCGTTGCGGTAATTTTTCGTTATCTCAAGGATTAAACATATAGTAGGTGTCGATTTATACCCAGGATTGGATATAACGTAATTTGCTTCTTGAGCCAATTACAGAGCAAAGAAATCACTCTTTGATGGACAAAAGTCCGAATTTTTTCGGCCGAATCAGTAACGAATTTTAATCATAGTTATGCCGTGTGTTGACACTGTCCGAATTATTGTACAAAATGTCCTCTTGGTAGTATCACCTCCTTGCATCAAGCACGCTTATGGAATTCCTTGGAATCATACACTTTCTTGAAGTCCCTAACATCACTCACTCTCATAGAAGCCGGAAGCGTTTTCTTATGAGTGTTTCTACCACTCCACTTCCATGGAGAAAAAGTAAGGTGAATAATCTTGACTTCCAACATAAAGAAGAACTTGAGGAATCAGTTGGGACTGAACACTGGAAGAAATGCAGCTCTGACATTCAGGGAAAGAAATGAGCTCGAACTATTGAGCTGGCCACCTCACTCAGAGAAGCTATTGTGTAGACACCCACCGAGTTCTTTACTTAAGGTATTTTACTTCTACGGATGATATGCGAAGAAGTGTAGCTCGTATCTTCTTCAGACATGAATGTGTGCGCCTTTTCTTGGCACTCAAATGCGGTGCATATAAATGGACCCAGTAATTTTCTTTCAGCGTGTGCTAGAGCAACCTTTATTGGGCATCAGTGTATCAGTGCAAATGTATCAGTGCTATTGCTTCCTACAAAATCGGTCCATGGGCAGTCCAGTAGCAGCTATTATGAGAGTGATTCCTTTTTCATAACTTTTTATCCCTTCCACTAGTTCAATGCCGAAGCCTTGCGGCTCTCTCGTCATCCCAGGTTATTTTGGCACTAGTGAGATATTACGAAAGCTGTCCATATGCGGAAGATTTGGCGCACCGAATGACTCACAAGGGAGGTATAAGGTCGCAATGACCGTCGGAGATGAGATGCTTCCCAAGTACGTGTTTTCAAATGTTATTCTCGAACCCACATTCCACATCTGCGAAACGACTGCAGGAACGAAGTTTTGGAGTATTCCTTTCATGCGAGACTGAATTTTGCCGTTATGAGCATGATGTTGGGGTTCGCATCCCATGGGCATGGATTTGCTATACCGTTTCATGATGCTATTCCCCTGCTAAACCCTTGCAAAATCCTTTTCACGCTTCAATTCACGATATACAGACCTCAATCATCATAAAAGAATATAGAAACTTTCTTTCTAAATGAATCCCTCTGAGCTATCACGCCTGTGCGTTGCCTTACCTGTTGTGATATCTCATGACATCTGTTGAAACGTCTCTTCCGCTCGGCGGAATTACCCTAAAATTCCATAGATAAGAGCGGTTCAACTTACCGGTGAAAAATGAATTGGAATGAAATTGAAATTGAATGCAGGCACCCCTCTATCTTGATGAATGGATANATAAAAATCGAAGAAGAAGTCTAGAAGAAGCTCCGCCCCTCAACTCTAAACCCCGCCCACTTAATAAACAATTCATACAAAAAATAGCGATCGGTTAAAAAAATAAATTAAATTTAAATTAATTTAAATTTCAATTTCATTCCAATTCTTTTTTCACCGATAAGTTGAACCGCTCTTATCTATGGAATTTTAGGGTTTATACACCACGAAAGAAATGTTACCATAGCTTTGTTTCCAGAATCGTTTCGCAAATTCGGAATGCAGTTTTGAGATTAACGTCCAAAAATATGCGGTTCACAACTCGTTCTGGATGACTACTGCGACCTTATATCCTTCCCTTTCAGTAGAAATGCCAGTGAAGTTGGGTACAGCATGAACGGATGAAGTTGGAGACTCCGTTTTTTTTTTTGAATAATATTACAGTAATAATAGTTTAATACTAGTTCAGTGCTAAAATTATAATCAATGAAATGAAAAGTGCTGCAATAGTACTATTTTTTGAACTTTGCTTGAAAATACGGTTCTATCGATTTTTCTTGACTGCTACAACTGACGAATATGCAAGAGACCTGAGCTAATTTTGAGTTGGTGTAGAAAGTGATCACATGACAGCTCATGTGCAACGAAATCCGAAAAATTCTCAGAAATATAAAGTTGCTGTGTAATTTCTTTTTACCACATTCACGAATGCATTCCTTTCTCCCGGAATAGTAAAATCCTCTCAGTGCAAATTCCTTGACGAGAGAAGATTTGTGAGCACATATATTCAGAGCAGTGGAAAGTTCAAGAAACTCATGAGCTATTATTTTTGAACGCACCAAGAATGTATTCAATAGCGACAACAGTCCCTGTCCTTCCGATGCCGGCTGAGCAGTGTACTATTATGGGTTTAGTAGTTCCACGCACCCGAGAAAGTAGCTCCTACAAATATTGAGATAGTCTCCAGCGAGTTTTGCCTGGAAGTATCTTTGTAAACGGTTGGATATAATGGAGATACAACAAAGTTTTTTTGGCATTAATTCCGTTTTTGAGATCCATCACTGCAAATTTCATGAAGAATCGTAGAACATTTTGAGTGTATATTTGTGGTATGTGCAATCCTTACTATATATAATCCACAAGTTTGGCGTGTCTGTTTGTATGTATTTATGTTTGTTTGTATGTTCAACGTGAAATTCGGTATCACTTAAACAACAACTTTAGAGGTCGGGGCAAGTTGGGGATGGGTGGAGCCTAAGATAAGATCAATGGAGCACATATGAGCTCTGCGGAGCTCCGCCTACAGGGGGCGGGGCAGGTGCCGGAATGGGCGGTGCGAATAGCCAAACGTCTTATTTTGGCTTCGAAAAAGGTCCAGACACCGGGAAAAGATGTTCAAGGATGAGGATTTTGCCAACAAATCAGATGGAGGAGACCCACGTGCTGTGAGTGGAGCTTTCTCAAAATGGGCGGTACTTTTCAGATATATTCATAACTCGATTAAATTGAGGGGCAGAGGCCAGGAAAAAAATAAAAGGAGTGGGCGGGGTGGGCGTGCATGCGCCTAGCGAAGCCCCGCCCACGGTGGGCGGAGCGTGCGTTGAGACGAAAGACACTTTTCAAAAATGAATGTAACTCCGTCCAAACACGTTCTAGAATGCAGAAAAAAAGTGGTTAGGTTAGAGGTAGTGGAACAAATGTGTCCAAATCCTCGAAGTGGGCGGAGTTGGCACTAAAGTGGCGGAGGCGGGGCTTAGAACAAAAATTTATAGTTCTATTTAAAAACGTTTTGGGATGTGACAAAAAGGTAATAAGGTGTGAAAGAACAAATGTGGTCTAATCTCAGAAATGAGCAGGGTTGGCACTAAAGTGGGCGCGGCTTAGACCAAAAGTTTATAACTCTATTTAGAAACGTTCTGGGAAGCGGCAAAAAAGTAATAAGGTGTAAAAGAACAAATGTGGTCAAATTTAAGAAGTGTGCGGAGCTGGCGCTAAAGTGGGCGAGTCTTAGATCAAAAATCAAGCATTCTGGGATGCGGGAAAAAAGTGGTAGGGTGTAGTAGAACAAACGTGGTCAAATCCCAGATGTGGGCGGAGTTGGACTGGAGAGGGCGGGGCTTACATCGAAATTTTTAAGTTTTTTCAAGTGCGTTTTTGAACGTGGGAAAAAGGTGTCTGGAGGTAATAAAAAAAGTAATGTGGTTCGAAGTCTGAAGTGGGTGGGGTTTGCAAAGATGGGGGCGGGGCTGAAGTCAGAAATTTGTACATTTGTCCTTTACACTAATCCTGACCATATAGGTGTACAACCAAGAGATACCATTAAACTCTTTCAAAAACTAGGCTGAAATTTTTTTAAAAGTTAGTATCCATGGTTTGTCACGCAATACTCCCTTCTACACAAGACCAAATGCACTACATTAACTTCAGACCTCATAAAATAAGTTCTACAGTAACCCCGGCCAACAGGTGCATACCCCGTAGAAACGTGTGAATCTCTACAAGTAATACTCAAAGGGGCTTCCCTTTCAAAGTTAGTTTTCGTGGCCACGTACAGCCCAAACTTCACAAAGTTTCTTCGACTACATGGACTGCAGGGGTATTTGATTTGTATACATCGGAGTACTCTTCATGGCCACACTCAAATCCATTTGACACCTCAAAAATAATGATGGCCGCTACAGAAGTATTAGGGAATAGGCTCAGGTGACAAAGGTCTATAATGAAAATCAGAAGCTCATGTAGCTCCGCCCCTTGCGGCTAGAGCCCCCAGTGCACGCACTAGCGTGCGTAGCCGCCTGGTAACTTTAGATTATAAGCGGATGAACAAGTTAGTGTTTTGATCGGCCCAGACAAATCTGGTACCAATTAGCCGACCTGAAACCAGGTGTATGTGGTAGTGCTCCACTCGTCCTTGCGCCACCTCTGCCCATCCTGTTGGGTTTATAAAGCGTAAAATGGCTCACTATACCTAACCAATTGCCGAAATTAAGAGTCACCGCCAAATAAGCTAACTAAATTAAATTAAAGAAATTTCGCTTGAAATAGGACACTGGAGCCTAGTCCATAGTACAGTTCCGTAAAATTAGACCGTACAAAACGTCTCCGTAGTTTTCCGCCACTGTTCGACTCTGATACCTTATCTCAAGCAATTATCCCCTGACTGTCTCTTTCACTCTCTATCTGAAATACCTGTTAAACTACGCATGCTATGCTCTTCCACTATAAAAATGGCTGCGAGAACGTGCCGAAGAAATCTTGCAGAGCTTCACGCTGTTTATTTGTCACCTGTTTCAATCTTAGCAAAACGCTCTTGATGGTAAGAAATCGGATGACCGCTGGAAACCAGTTAGCGAAATCTTGGCCTATGAATCACAAGAAATCACCACCAATGAATAATGGATTCACCAGATGAATAGCAAAAGTTTGAAGGTAATAATGCTCAGTATGTATTCGATTGAAGTAGGTTTTCCTCAAAAAATGGTTTGAATATGTACGGAAAACCGCAGACACTTTTTACACAGCCTAGTATGTAACAGCATTACGTATGGTCAACGCTTGTCATCTATCAATTCCTACCATGCTCGTTAATCTACATGGTGGCACGCCTCTGTCCGGCCAGTCGATCCACTGGTAATGCCGAACTTCGCGTTGCTCATGGGTACCATCAGGCTTTGTAAACTTCACAATTAACACCGACACGATAACACTTTGCTCTTCTGGACTCATTGGACGCATCTTAAGGATAAAAATTGGTAGCCGTAATCCGAAAATGTCTGATATGAGTATACCTGAACGTTAAATATTTCAATTCCTGCAAATGTCTTGCTGGTTCCCATCTGATTTGGCCAGTATTCGGCGCACTTGTATTTTCCCTGGAACCAGTGTATGAGCTAGATAGATACCGGACACCTTTCCCAATGTTCATTTCCAATTCGTTCGTCAGGAAGTGAAGTAGATGCCGGTACTTGTTAAAGATATAGTGTATTTCTGAGTATTAGTGACCGAGCGTTGGAGCCATTTTGCGCAACCCCATACCCGATTATAGCACTCAGACCAAACTTCGCTTCTGAGAGTCTTGGTTCAGATAGAATCAATTTAAGATCTGCATCATTTCGAATGAAAGTCATTTGTGTGGCGCACGCTGGATCAGTGAGCTCGCGCTGGCGGTTTTACCCTGCTATTTACTTTCATCTTTGCACGATATTATGTGACTGTCTACTTGTATTGTATGCATAACACACTCATAGGAAAATCGCGAGGGAAACGTGAACCCCTGCGTGTGAAACGCCTTGATCAACTTAACTGTTTCAAGATGGGAATAAACTAACGCAAAGTTTGTTATCGAGCATTTACCTTGACTCACGAAAATGAATCCTATAAGTCAATCTGCACCATAACAATTTGATTTCAGCGAAGTATTCAGGCTTCGTGGATGCATTCTTCTCTCGAGCTTTAGAACAATTCACAAAACAGACTGAGATATTTAAATATCTCTTAGTGCCGCCTTCTCTTTTCTAATGAAAAAGATCGCCAACTCAAATCAGCTATTCGTACGGTAACTATTGAAATCTTTCCAATGAAGATGTCATGTTTGTAATAGCAATAGCTACGTGACGGACCGACGCTATCGCTGCTTTCATAGTCCGCCGGCCGGCCGGCGTGCCATGAGGCAGTGCTAGCGGGGAGGAGGGCGGCAGACGGTCGGTCAGCCCCTCGAAGGGCCGTAAACAAGGAGAGACAAGATCAAAAACCATTTGTACAAGCCATTGGTTGCTTGGTTTTTGATCTTGTTCTTCTTTGTCTTCAGCCCTTCGACCGACCGTATGCCTCCTCCCCCGTAGCACTGCATCGTGCCACGCCGGCCGACCGGCGGACTATGAAAGCAGCCTATGGCCTTAGAAAGCTCGTAGATATACAATAATTCTTATTGAGGCTCCAAGCGATCTAGCGCACGATGAATGATGGATTCCGAAAATCTTAGAATGTACCGTCTCAATGCAGTTACAGAGCATAATGATTGTCTGAGACTCTTCCTGTAGCACCATCATCCAGAACTCCGTAATTGTACCATCCAGTGGTCCCTGAATAGTTCCAAGATGTGAGCCATATGAAAAGCAGTGCGTCAGCATTCATATCTTCGGGTACTGCATGATTATGTACTCCGATCCCCTACCGAATTGAAATTACCTCCTTCAAAACGTAATTCTTCGTTATAATACTTTAATCGGTACTCAAAACGCGGCTATTTCACTAGATGATCGTCAATATTAAGAAAAAATCCTTTTGGAGAATTATTAACATCGCTCAAACTGTTCTGGCATGCAGAATGGGGCAAAATTACTGGTGCATCTGGTATTTTTGAATTTTTTTCTAGGAAACTTTCCCGTCCACCCAAATGTGATTCGTCGTTCTGATCCTATACGTCGAAAAATGTTTCAGAATATTTCTTTATTTCCCGAGAAAAATTGATGAACGAGGAGAACAGGGATAGAATAAGAGGTCCCACAGTAGCTACGAGTAGGAAAAATGTGAAGCTCGTCAGAAAAAATTTAACGAACGCCACGAGATCGATATGCGAGATGACGAAGAAGTTGGAATTGGCGTGTATCTATGGATACACTGCCAAAAGAAAGCTGAGAAAGGTTCCTTATCGTCTGCAGAAGTAGGGTGTGGTGCAGTTGAATCAAGATTGGCGCTTTGCTGGAGAGAGACGCCGCGCGCGAAGGAATGTAGCAGGACGCAGCAGCAAGAAAGAAATACAGGTATAAAAGAACTAACAGTAGAATCATGACGAAAATGATAATTTCATATTGATTGAGCTGTATGGGGAACGCTAGAACTGTAATAACGAGTGGTCCGCGACAGCCTCGTGCGGCGAATCGAGTTCACAACGCCGATCCAACTGTGGGTCACTCGTAGAAATGCCGTCTCCTGAATGACATCTCGGAAAGGGTAGATTGGAAAGATGGAAGAAATCGCTGCACGATGACACATCGCTCTCATTGATGAGAAGATTTTCGTTATGGATGAAGTCTTCAACCCCAAAAGCTAGAGACCTATTCCAAGCTGATGCTACGACCGAGACATGATTCCAGGGAGAAGCGAAACATCCTCAATTCATTCTTGTTTGGAGAGGAGCTACCTTTACGGATACCCTACACTTATTTCCGTCAGAACTAACATAAGACTCGCTGCATGATTATTAGTTGAATGGTGGAAGGTTTTTCAAGCTCTGGAACAGTCCCCACTGCGAAAAGGCCCACTGGTGCTTGATGGCACAGCTCACGATAGAGTGGTTCTTACGACTTCTTCACAGAATCACTCGGTGGTTCCCTAAGGTAACAGAAAGAATGCTGTCGGGACGAAAAATTCAATAGATATGGCATAATATGAGCCCTATCACCGGATTTGTCGACGTCCACGCTCATCGACAGATGATGTGTCGGACGGGTGTACAGGCGATACAGGTTGCGCTACTCTCACCAGGACCCACACATTCCTCATGTAATCAGCTGATCGCCAGATAGTGAGGCGACGTTTTACTCCTATTCTGTACCTCTTTTTGCTGTTGCGGTCATTTTTCTAGTTTTCTAATGAATTTCAAGGTGTTTCTGCTTAGTGTAGTCAGCTATTCGTGCCAGGAACCACATGTACGCAGTGACGCGCATTGTATAGCTCGTCCAAGCACCACTTATACTTCACTCTTCTGATCTTATTCTTCCAGCTCCTCTATTACGACTTTTTTGAAGCCTTCCATCATTTTGGAAACACCGGTTTGCGTGCGTTCTTCACCTCCAATGCACTACTATTCACATTCTTTTTCATTTTTCGTCATAATCTGGATAACCCAAAATTATCTTGAACTGTGCCTTTAAGCAGTGACTATCCAGGATTGATGTGTCGCTGCTTGTCTTCATCAGACACGACAAGCGCTCTTCATTTCTCCCAACCTTGACAAGCTGCACTGTGTGCTCCTTCTTCAGAGCAAAGCGTTTTCCACAAAACGCCTTGAACTAAGTAGTTTTTTTGAATACAGAAAGGAATCGATGACCAGCATCTGAGGGCCGCGTGCTAGTATTTCTCGAACGTCTGAAGGGCTGTTCGAAGGCTGAATGAAATCGGGAACATGTGTTCTGTTGCCATATTTATACTAAACAAAATTGCTAACTAGAATTGAGAAAGAGAATTTAAGATGTTTGGTGTCAAAATGCCACTGAAATTTTGTCGCACCTGTAATTTTGCCTCACCATGTATACATATGTGTGAAAATAAAGTCTTCGACTTTGAATCTCCTAGGCGGGCCACAGTGTTCAAATTCCATTCAGAATCGTATTGACATACTGAATGCGTGTGGGGCTTATACAATAAGCCCTGCGGCCAACGGATGTCCAGCCCAGTCACTTTATTTTCCCATATTGTTCTCGCAATTAACAATTAATTAACAAGTGGCTGATCACGGAAAGAAAAACTCTTGGTTAACTGGGATGTCTATTGAATCGGAATTCCATCACGGAACCATGTGTGTGTGATAGTTCGTCACTTGCCATTACATCACCTCTGCCCGTGGCATGTACATATGTATGTGAAGGATAGGAAGCAGGATGAAAACACTCTCTATGATTTGTGAGAGCACACATTTTTCAGCGAAAACGAGTTCAACACTGTCGCTAGGAAAACCATTTGCTTTTCGTTGCGTCTCATTATATGAAGTGAGCAAACTTCATGTTATGTCTACGACAGTCGAGTCGCCCGAGTAATGCCGGGCTTCCCTCCTTATGATAGAGTTGTGATGATCGGCAAACTGCTTGCTCCTTCTCCGGGACAAATGATACTTTTCGGAACACTAAACTTGATAGAGGCCTACAGGGCATGCAAGTGGTATTCGAAATGTGCCAATGCTTATGCCTATAATCCGAAGATTCGATCTATTACTGTTCATCTTAAGTAAAGATCCATTGGAGGTTTAGCTGGACCGAATAAAATATTTTCGTTCACGCCTCGCCTCTTGTGGGCGGGATCTAGTCCTGTCTCCCACCATCAGTTTCCCATTTCCCCTCCTGCGCTCCTACAAATTTAGTGCTCTAGATCCTATTTGACATTTTTGAGCCAGCTCGCCCTCTTGTAATTGGAGTCTAGTCCTACTAACTATCATCAATGTTCACATCTCGCCTCCTGTACACCTTAAGAATTCCAGCGCTTTAGGTCCAAGGGAACCCGAGTTATGAATTCCCGCTCAAACATTTATTCCGCACAAACCCCGTCCCCCTTGGGTGTATTCTAGTCCTGCCACCCGAAATAAGGTTTCCATTGGGGACCGGAGTTATGAATTCGCGGTTTAACACGCGCATACATACATTCACACACAAACCAAGACACTTAGCGCGTTATATACAGTGGGATTTCCAATAAAATTTTGGCAAAATTTGAAACACGACGAATCCACATAGCGGCTCCTTCAACCTCAACATTATATCTCACATGCAGCCATTTTTTCTATCTTTTTGTGCTCCCTACTCTCAACCACGTCTGAAAATGCTTTTTGCCTAAACAGGTTTCTTGACCAAGGATCTGGCAATTTGTGAAGGGTAACGTTGAAAATGTATTGAGTTTCACCTTCAAACCGACTTTTAGATAGAGGAGATAGTTCTTTTGAGCTAGGGGAAAATGTTGAGTATTGGAAAGAGCCCTATCAGAAACATTATAAAAAAACAGAACCTGCGTGCAAATGAATCTTTTGTCTGACAGAGGTGTGCCTACATAGTTTGCATGAATATAATCGACAGGAGCTCCCGGCCAAGTAATAACGACACGGTACTGATCTTGACAAGGAACATCTTGGTACCTGAATGGCACAGAGGTTGAGAAGGAAGCCAGGGGGCAGAATCTCTATGGGTTAATTTTCTTGGAATCAATACAATCACCTTCCCTTCCAGTCGGACAAACCACACAGTTTGAGGTTGTACATAGGCTATCGTATAGCCTGTTCCGAACCAGGCACATGTCCAGATTGAAGGGTGGTTCGTTAATAGTAGCAACCGCATTTTCCAAGCCCGTTCTCTTTAGCGAATAAAAAAGTCCACTGCCTTAGGGAGTCACCAAATTCAAAAGTACAACGGAGGTGTTTTCGAAGTCGCCGTGGAGGTCATGGCACAGGAATCCAAAATTATGCGCAAACAAAACCCGGCATTCTCGATACAAGTCACCGATCCAAAAATGAATCGTGGGGAAGAATGTCTCGAAATCACGCGGGAGCTGCGGCCTTATATAAAGTTGGCCTTCCCGCAGAGACTTTGAATGAAGACATGAGTACCTCAGCTGAGACGATTGTTATTATCGATTGCTGGTTGGTTTTGAAGAATCCACCAAGCTACGGTGAGTCGTTCCCCTTTAATGACCTGTGTGCCCTGTGGGGGCTCGAATCTTAGTGTGACAGTGGAGACGTTCGATCGGATAGTCTTAAATTGTTATGATCTTCCTAGGCTCTGAAGAACATGACTTCGCCGAAACGTCAACCTAATAAAGCTTGTATACAAACCTCGTGAAAAGGTAAAGAAAACAACTCCGTAACAGAACAGTTATGCCGAGAAACATAGAAAGCCATACGTGGGGGGTAGTAACCATAGTGGTTGCTCCTAAACCTTGGAAAGGAAGACTGGCTCCGAGACATATTATTTGAAGGCATTTTCCAATTTGATCACTCGTGTTTTGTTCAC